TATCCAAATAGGCATGCATAGGTAAAATAGATTCAACCTTCTCTTGGAAAATGTGTGAAGATGAGAATCATGTGTTTGATGAACAAAAATTTAGATGAAAAGAATATTAATTTGTTCCTTTTGAAAATTTTGACGATAGAATTTTTCAGTCTTATGTTGGAAAATGTGTGAAAATGAGAATTTGTATGGGATAATAATATATGTCACGGGATACGTACTATAGCTAGTTGTAGAGTACAGCTAGCGTTAAGAAGAAAATTATTTTCAATAACAAATTTAGTGCATATACGGTTTGTGTTAAGTTAGATTAGAAGTTACACGTATACATAAACATATTAAATTATTCATATCTCCTCTACCTTATATATTGATTCAAAACGTGTTGAGCCTAAGTGACAGATTCTCACACTTCGGATGTTGATATAACAAAAATCTATGTTTCGTGATGTTGTTTTTATATTATTTTTGTTTTGGAGTTAGGTTTCGTATTAGACATAAATAACTTTTATCATATATTTTTTGACTCAACACCCGTATTAGACACGGTATTGTACTGATATATGTGAAAAAAAAACAGTTCAGAGAAACCTGTTTATTAGTTAAGAAGATGACAAAAGAATCCAAAGCCATGACAAAATTAACCGCAAAAGTCGGAAAGGTCTATGACATGCAATTTTGCTGTCCACATAATTAGTATAAATAAAACTATTGAGTATTGAAGCAACCACACAACACCGAAACGGATATATTTAATTTTTAAGTTTTCAAAATATCTGATGTAGGTAAGGCGTACGAGTGAGAATGATAAAATGAGTAAACGAGATATTTTCTCGTAAAACACGTAAAACTCAACAATATTTTTTTTCATTCAAAATCAACTATTTCATAACAAAGCAGAAGAGCCTTTAAATAAGGCTCCTAACCCTAGATCTTAACTTGTCCAACAAGACAAGATCACTTATCAAACAATAATATTAAATCCTAACTTATTCTCTAAGACACATATTAGATACTAATAATAATAATAATAATAATAATAATAATCTACACCATTCTCCCCGGTTCGGAAGGCTTCGCCCTCGAAGCCGATGCGCTCCCGTGGCTAGCGTATGGTGTCGAACTCATGGTAGTAAAACCCCATCGTTTTCCCCGGTCGAACACGAAGGATGAATGTTGTCCAACAATTCCGATGGTAAACATAATCATGGGCAAGGATTGAATTGCTGCATATGCACATGTACACACCTCCATATGCATAACCCACACAGCGGAATTAACACCAAACATACCACACTGTTCACCGCACTCAAATCCATAAGTACAACCAAGCATCCTGTTGTTGAAAGACTTCAGGATAGACAATCGAAAAATGGCCCACTAGTTATTGAGCCTCGGCTCCAGCTCCGAAAACCATCGTTGGCCAAGATACTCCAAAAATCGGGTTTGAACGATGGCTTCCTGTTCTAAGGCTCAACCTCTGCGACGTCCCATGCGGGACCCATATTGTCGCAATATATCTCCGTCACCAGTAGCTCCTCATCAAAAATAGGCAGACCGCCGTACAATAGTCCGTCATCTTCCTCAAAAACCACACCTTGTTGCCGCACATCTTGGTCGTCGTGCGCAACAACTAGCTCAATCTCGACGGGCGGAGGCGGATACTCTCCGAAGGGATCAACCTCCGAGATGGTCTCCTCGTCGTCTGCATCGCCGGACGGCGGTTGTGGAGATCGCCGACGGGGCGCCCCGCCTAGACCACAACCCCCAC